TATTAAAAGAACCCATTAAAAGAAGTAAGAGCCTGGGAAACTTTAAAAAACAAACCAAAAAAAGGAATAATCTGTCCTTAAATAACAGAATAAGCTGTACACCGTAATTAGTTAAAACTTGAGAATCGGGCAGTTTTTAATTTGTCCAGGGGCATGAATTCAACTGTACTGTCATCCATTGTGCCGCCTAGAGGTGTGTTATGAGTGCTGACTAGCCACAAATTCAGTAAGAGAACCTTAGTAGAAAAAGAAATTGTAATGAAATAATTCATGAGGCTGGGCTCAGTGGCTTAGCCTGTAATCCCATCACTTTGGGAGGCCAAGGGAAGTGGATTGCCTGAGTCCACAGGTTTGAGACCAGCCCAGGCAACTTGGTGAGACCTCGTCTCTACGATGATAGATATTAAAAAAAAAAATTCGCCGGTCGTGGTAGCACACGCCTGTAGTTCAAGCTACTTGAAAGGCTGAGGCAGAAGGATTGCCGGAGTATAGCAGATTGTGCCACTGCACTCCAGCCTGGGTGACTGAGTGAGACTCTGACTCAAAAAAAAAAGAAAAGAAATAATTCATGAGCCCTTCTACATGGTGGGCACAGAAACATTCACTGTGCTGTGTGAACATTTCATCGATTGAGATTAGATCAGTGATTACTAAAATAACTTGGCTGATATCACCCAAGTGATTTGGAGCCGTCTTTGGCTTTTGCTTCCTGCTGCAACAACACCCAGCTCTTTCTCACTCTTAGCTGTTTTTCTTAAGCTTCTACTTGGAATGTCATGTTCCTCCTCCTTTCATCCTTAGCGCTCAACTTGTAAGTCACATCCTCCTGGAAACCTTCCTAACCTTAGGCAGTATTTTCCTCCCCTGCCCCAAGTCCCATTAGATCCTTTCTTCAAGCCTAACAAAGATAATATCCTAGCCGGGCTTGGTGGCTCAGCCTGTAATCCCACACCTTTGGGAGGCTGAGGTGAGTGGATTGCCTGAGCCCGCGGGTTCGAGGCCCGCCTGGGCAGTGAGACCTCATCTCTACAATAAATCAAAAAATCAGCCAGGTGTGGTAGTGTATGCCTGTAATTCTGGCTATTCGGAAGGCTGAGGTGGAAGGATTGCCGGATCCCAGCAGGTCGAGGCTGCGGTGACTGGGAGCGGCCACTGCACTCCAGTCTGGGCGACCGAGTGAGACTCCAACTCAAAATAAATAAAATTAAAAGCTAAGGCTGGGCATGGTGGCTTATGCTCGTAATCCCAGCACTTTGGGAGGCCGAAGCAAGAGGTTGCCTGAGCACAGGGGTTTTAGACCAGCCTGGGCAAGTTGGTGAGCTCTCATCTCTACATTAATTCCCCAAAAAAAGAAAAATTAGCGGAGTGTGATGGTACATGCCTTTGGTTCCAGCTACTTGGAAAGCTGAGGCTGGAGAATCACCTGAGCTCAGAAGGTTGAAGCTGCAGTAGCTAGTAGTGGGCAACTGCATCTAACCTGGGCAACAGAGTGAGACTCTGAGTCAGGAAAAAAATCTATTAACCCTTTGTACCCAGAGGCATCTTGCAGATCACCTACCAGCAACTCAGTCTCTCTTTTTCACGAAATAAAAAAGCAAATCATTTTCTATTAATTAGTATAGTATTGGAACAAATTATTTTATTGTAATGACATTTGACTTATAGTGCAATTTTGGACATTGAGGAACTTATTTATGACAAATTAAAATTTTATATCATATTTTTCTTTATATTTTTCTAGCTTGTGGTAATGTGTGAAAGTCACCAACATGCATTGCAGGTTCATTGATACAATAGTAATTCATTTGACATCTTCCATCTGATATTTTTCTGTTTGAGCAGACAATGTAGTTTCCTTCCTCCCACATTAATAAGATGAAATTTATTGTCCAGTCTGTTGTTCGAGGACAGTGTGGAAGGATGTACTCGTGATTCCTGAAAACCACTTCTCAACTGATCCATCAGAAATCTAATAAATTTCAAGTGGGACATGGGTTTTTCATTGTTTTTGAATGGAAAACTTTAAGAAAATATACATTTTTGAAAACTTTGCACTTGCATAAGTTTGTCCTGTATAATCAGCAACCTCTTTATGTCCCCTGAGAGGGGACATCCAAGTGCAAAAGGTTAATAAAAGAGTAAAAATAGGCCTGGCTTGGTGGCCCAGCCTGTAATCCCAGCACTTTGGGAGGCCGAATTGAGTGGATTGCCTGAGCCCGCGGATTCGAGACCAACCCAGGAAACTTGGCGAGATCTTATCGCTACAGTGAATAAAAAATTAGCCAGGTGTGGTAGCACATGCCTGTAGTTCTGAATAGCTACATAAAAGGCTGAGGCGGAAGGGTCACCTGAGCCCAGCAGGTCAACGCTAAGTATGCGACTGCACTCCAGCCTGGGCAACTGAGACTCCAACTAAAAAAAAAAAAAAAGTAAAAATATATAATTACTGTTGAAATGAAAGGTTTGTCAGAATAATTCAGTTTAGTTTAACATAATTTACGTTTCTCATCATTTTAAACATATAAGTAATGTTAACTTATTTTATTAATAAACCAGTTTGAGTTTAGGAAAAAAAACCCACATAGAATAAAATGTATTTTCTGTTATACTTAATGTGAATAAATAAAAGACGTAGCATCTAAGTTACCAAAGCTTTACCTTACCTTTGTGAACTTGAATTCCTAAAACGTTTCTGAGTTTTATTATTTAAGAAAAATGAAATTTAAGTTCTAGGATGTTGAAAGAATTAGGAATTTGGTTTCCCATTTACTGGAAATTCTAGGAAAGTTCAATTGCTGTAAGTGCATATTTATGTCTGTAACACAATCACAACAGAGCACCTTTAATTTGAGGCTTTTTGTTTGTTTTTGTTTTTGTTTTTTTGAGTTGGAGTCTCACTCTGTCGCCCAGACTGGAGTGCAGTGCCACTGCAGCCTCGACCTGCTGGGTTCCGGTAATCCTTCTGCCTCAACTTTCCAAGTAGCTGGAACTACAGGCGTGCGCTACCACGCTCGGCTAATTTTTTTATTTTTATTGTCGAGATGAGGTCTCGCCAAGTTGCCCAGGCAGGTCTGGAACCCACGGGCTCAGGCAATCCACTCACCTCAGCCTCCCAAAGCACGGGATTACAGGCTGAACCACTGAGCCCGGCTTTTGTTTGTTTTTGAAAGCGGGATTTATTGAGAGGACAGTAAAGCTCCCACAGTGGGAGGGGACCCAAAGGGGTTGCCTGAGTTTTGTTTTGTGTTTTTAAGTTGGGGTCTTACTTTGTCACCTAGGCTCTAGTGCAGTGGCACTATCATGGTGGACCACAGCCTCGAACTCCTGGGCTTAGGTGATCCTTCCACCTCAGCTTCCCAAGTAGCTGGGACAACAGACTACACGTGGGTTTTTTGTTTGTTTGTTTTACTTTTTGTGGAGATGAGGTTTCACTATATTGCCTAAACTGGTCTCAAACTCCTGGGCTCAGGCAATCCTGCCTCAGTCTTGGGATTGCAGGCATGAGCCACCGTGCCTGGCCACTAATTAGATTATTAAAATCTCAAATTAGCCGGGCTCGGTGGCTCAGCCTGTAATCCCGCACTTTGGGAGGCTAAGGTGAGTGGATTGCCT